AGGCTCATGATCTGCATCCATCAGTTTGGGCTGCCCAGCAGACTGGACCTGACACGCCATAAAGGCGGGAGCTGAGGCGACCAGTAGGAATTACACACAAACTCGGCCTGGACCTGGTCTGCCCCAAGTCCACGGCAGACAGGGGGAACAAACAGTCGTGCAATTCTTGCAATTATGCATCTATGTTTCGCGAAATGTTTGCTTTCGCCATGCTCTCGCTGTCAGAAGCCGGTTGTCTGCTTGGATTGGTGGTCATGCAGCACGTTGCCACTGACTACCCAGTATAGGTGTTGACAGCCGCGCGACAAAGCATAGCTGAAAGCATGAATATGCCTGAGTCTGAGAGCTGCCATAATCAGTAAATAAGCCACCAGCCTTTTTGGCTGATGTGTTCGGCTGATTAATCCCTAGCGCGGTGCATGCTAAATGCTAGCTGCTAGATGCCTTCCAGAAGCTTGTGGAGCAGTTTGGTCCTGCTGGGCATACCGCAAGCAGAGCAGCCTGACAAAAGGTTCTATACGTGCTTGCAGCTCCTTGAGGTGAAGGCTGTCACCCAGTATCCAGAGCCCCTGCATTGTGCACAAGTCCAAAGCCACAAGTTGCGCAAGGTACTGGAAATGCACAATCCGCTGCCTTGAGCTTTGCCTCCTTCTTTATTCTCTCCAGGCCAGATCCATCAGCTCCCACCTTGCGCGTCCGCGGTGTGCTTCGAACAGACTGCCTTGACTCTGTTAGTTGCCCTTAGTGGTACGGGATTGAAGCTGCCATCAACCTGGTTCGCCAGCCTGACAATCGAGACCCTGAACAAGGTGTAGATGCCTACCTGCTGTAACAATGCCCCCACAATAATTTGTGGACAATCAACAAACTCCAGCGCAAGGTGCCAGAATGCAAGCCGACATGCTCCGGTGATTCTGCCTGCTTTTCGTTCTGAGGCATGGGCAAGCTCAGACACTAAGTTGAACCTGCACGGAACCACCACGTCAGGAATCCGAAACATACGATAGCATTGCTCGCACGGGCTCAACAGCACGACTGGCAACCTTCCCAATGTAAGTCCGTCTTTGCACTTAACATCAACCAGCAACAATGCCTATAGCAGTTGTTCTTGCGCTGAAGGACACGCTCTGACCTGGCAGCATTCGGTGAAGGCTGTCAAGGGGAAAACCTGTGACATCAAACAGGCAAAGAGAGCTCGGACCATCTGCCTGCCAGATCGGTGGGATCAGCCTGTCTCATTGCACAGGTGACGCACATGGAAAACCTATCCTGATTCGAGTGTGCAAAAAGTTGCATATACATGCGGCGTCACCACCATCATGCGCGTGCACATCAGAACACATCAATGTATGAATTATGTGTCCGGCTGCAGTGAAAACGAACATTTCACAAGGTCGAACAAAGACCACGTGCAAGCAAGCACCACTCTGGGGTCGATTAGCTAACGTCGCACTCATCTGAATGAAGAGGCTTCTGCAATGTGCTTCTGCTGGAATAGTTTGAGGCATCTGATTGGAGACCCCCGGTTTAACAGTGTGTTTTTCGGTTCTAGGCTCTAAGCAAAACAGCATAAACCAGATTGAACGCGCTGGCGGAGTCCAGGCACTAGCTCTGTGAAAGATGCCCCCATTCTTAACTCAACTTGGTCCCCGAACCCAGTCTCGTGCTGCGGGCGCTGATACACTTGCCTCTACCACAACCAAGGTCACTGGCGAGACAGCGAACGGCTGTGCTAACCAATGCTCAGCCGTCGTGCACTGTAGGGATGAGAGGAGGCCTCAGTCGGAAGCCCTGCAGGGGTCACTGATGTCAGTGTCAAGGCCCGAAGCTGCACGTGAGCGTGAGAACTCAGTATTAAACTCTGCGCCTAAAATCTTTTGCACAGCATTTGTTTGTGGCACAAAAATGGGTGCTTGGTATCTGCTTTCTTGGCGAGCTCTGTGTAAGCCGATGGGCCGATTGGTTCCAAACGATGCTTGCGTTCACGACCTTGAAGCACTTGCGGCTGACCCCACGATCTCCCATGAACATGGGTGCTTCCTAAGCGCACCGGATTGTCTCGCAACGACAACGAAGGCACTGAAGTTTGAAGCTCTTTTGGAAACACTGTGGACTGGATCTTCACGATGGGCCTCATGGACTTGAGGGCCAGCGGCAGAAGCGAAAGTTCTGCGCCCTTTCAACTTGTATAGGGTATCCACCATTCAAAATTGAGCTGGAGGCATGTCCCGGCAAGACATGTGGCTTGTTTTCAAAATTATGGGCCCGTTTTGGTCATAGATCCGCCGACCCCGCCCTGGGCGCCTCGCCCTGTGAAACCGTACACCTTTCTGCCAGCTTCGGCTTTGCGCTCCAATGATTTCTCCATGTTTCTCTCCTCCGTCCCGATTTGGTTCTTGCATCACCCAATATTTCTTCTGTTTCTAGTCCCCCGGCCCCCTCTCCAGTGTTTCTCCCACTCTTTCTATTTTTTCCCAACTACTTTTGCTTTTTTGACTGCCAGCATCGGCTCTGTGTCCAATGGTTTTCCCCCTCCGTCCCGACTTTCTTCGTGCATCATCCAATACTTGTTCCGTTTCCAATTCCCTTTGCCTCGTCCCCGGTGTTTCTCCCAACTATTTCCGCGTTTTCCCCAATAATTCACTTTTTTGACTGTTCAATCCTTCTCCATCCTTCTCCTGTTCTCCTGCCTCCTTACCCACCCACTCACCCCTGCCCCCACCCTTACATGGGTTTGGGCCAGATGTGGTACTAGTAATTGCTGATTGTAATCCCCTCCCAAAACAACCAACAAATACCACATCTGGCCCAAACCCAGGTTCTCGGGCCAAGAACTTGGGAGGAGTTTACACCAAAAGTGACCGCATCTGGCCCAAACCCAGGTTCTGGGCCTGAGAACCTGGGTTTGGGCCAGATGTGGTGATCTTTCGGTGTTTTGTTAGGGAACCCAAGCAAATAGGTCGAGCACTGAATCACTGACCGCTCCACGGCTCCCTCTTCATGCTGCCTGCGTTGCCGGTTCCTGGCACAGCCCCTTAAATCCGGCCCTGCCGCTCTATAAGGGATGGCGCCGATGCCGCCGACCCCCGCTGCCGGTGCATCATCGGGCCTCCGTTTCTCCCAGGTCCCTTCTGGACCGAAATCCGCATCATGAGCACGGCCGTTTTGAAAACTAACCCCAAGGCCCCTCCTGGGGTAGGGCTGAGAAAAAACTAGACTCCATGAAGGGTCCCTGAGTGAATGGGAGGCCAAAATTGGAGAAACGGGCCCCGAATGATGCTGATGATGCTCACCCCCTTTTGGCCAGCATCATCAGCATCATAGGGGTGCCGTTTCTCCCTCAGCCAGGCTTCTAGGCTGCCTGTGCCCATTGGGTCAGGCCTGATGGGGTTCCTGAATGTTGGATGTCGGAACCATGGAGGCTATCATGAGTCTTTGCGAGTTCTATGGTGGGTTTGCCATGGCGATATTGATGGATGTGGTGATGGGTTGCAGGTATGGTGATTTTATGCATGTTTTCTGCAGGTTTCATACTGGTTTCATATTGGTTTTATGATGGTTTTATGGGGTTTGCGTTTGGGTTTGCGCAGGCCCCCCCACCCCCCGCTGCCCAGCCATCATGTGAAAGCCAAGCCCACGCTGATGCTCCTGACTGAGCGGAAGGTACGAAAAACTTATGTTACCGCTACCTGAGATGTTTTTTGGGTTTGGAAGGTCCTGTTCTCTCTAGTTTTACTGAAAATGGCCTAAAATGAGGTTCCATTTGTGCTGATGATGTTCCTGTAACAGGCGCAGGCGCGCGCCTCGTACAGAAGCACCATCGGCATCATTGGGACCAGGAGGTTCACAAGCTTGAGAAAAGACACCAAAGGACGAAGGCGGCAGGGCCGGCCCCTGCCGCTAGGCCTAAAATCGGCCAACGCCTTGGGGTTGCGGTCGCAGGCCATGGCCCTGGCTTCGCCATGGAGCGCCGCCGACACTGCATCATTGGACCTCTGTTTCTCCAAGGGGCCTTTTCGGATCCCACTCCAAAACCAAGCTCAAATTTTAATGCGTTCCGGAAGCAAATCCCCATGGCACGGAGTGATTTTTGAGAGTTTTTTGGTGTCCCCGGCACACTCAAAAAAATGCATCATGAGCAAGGACGTTTTTGACAACTAGACCCCGAGGCCCATCTGGCCCTGAGCATCAAAATGCTGGAAGTCCTCAGATTGGAGAAACGAGCCCCCAATGATTGGGCGCAGCCCGTTAAATTATGTTACGGGACCTAATATATTGTAATATCTTGGGGCACCAAAGCGGCACCCTAATCTTGGGAGCTAGCCGCATCATCACACTTGCAATAGATCCAGCAGCAGTCCAACTCGATAAAGTCAGAGGTTATTTTTTGCCTGAGCTCTAAGAAACCAGGCAACCTTTCGTGTCGAAATGCACCTGCATCAAATGTGAAAAGCTCGCGGGTGTGCTGTAAGAGCAACGAAGACTGCGCACCGAATGTAATCTGCAGGCTTTGCTTGCAGCGTAGGTCCAGGAGACATCTAGGTCTATGAAGAAAGCCCCCAGAAAGCAGTTAGGTGCATCATGGGCCCCCCGTTGCTCAACCGCCCCCGCCAGAGAACATGGCACAATGCACAGGTAGGGATGGTCAGGTTTCTCCACGTCAGAGGAGTTTGAGTCTTTCAACAAAACATGCTCATGCTCAAATGGATACACAAGGGCTCTGCTTCAGGTACTATTAGAATGCAAACTACCACGCGACAGACAACAAAAGCAAGCATGATACTGGCTAGTGTTCAGACACTAGTATGAACGTATTTGGACCGAATTTGCAGAGCTTTCAAGTGCCAATACTCTGGCTGGGCAACACCTCTGCACAGGTGGTTTGGCCCATTCAAGCAAAGGAGACAGCCAGGTTACAAAACACTCATGCAGAATCCGGTGTCCTGTACCTGTACGAAGTGCATTTCAAACATGATAGCGTGATGACTTGCAGTTCCTGCCTCCTCTGGGTCCGCGGGAGTCAAAGCTTCGATGCAGCGCAGCGCATCCCGATGATACTTGAACCGCACGTACCTGCGCGTACAGCGCTTGACTATTGTTCAACGTAGTTCAATTACACCTCGTGAACTCATCCGGCACACAGAGGAGTATCCTGGCATTGAAACGCAGGACCTTGTCCTCCAGGGGGTAGCGGGACCACTAGGGATACCATAGCGGCGGCCTCATTGCCTTCATTTGCGTCCACTATTTCATTTCAACCACGCACAGTCAGAGCTGCTGAAAACCCATGTGTCAATTGGTGGCTATTCGTAGTGCTGCAGTGTCGCCTAATTTGTAGAGATGTTGTAATGCTTAACACTTGGAGCTAATCTGGTGTTATTGCTGGGGTTGGGGTAGGTGCAGGGTAGGGTTTGGTGTTTGCCAGCATCAAAAAGTGGTGCAGACGCAAGGTCTGTCGAGATCCAATGTGGGGTAGGGCCTAGGTCTGCCAACATGAAAAAGTGGTGCGGACGAATGGTTCTGGAGTCAGAAAAAGCGGGCTATCATCATAAAAAGTGGTGCGGCCCAATGGTTCTGGAGTCAGAAAAGCGGGCTATCATCATGAAAAGTGGTGCGGACCAGTGGTTATGGAGTAAGAAAACGCGGTGTAGACAAGAGTTCTGCCTGCCATGAATCCATGAAATTGATGGTCTAGAATGCTCAATCCTGCTCTCTCGTATGTTTACAAGGCTTGACTGATGATTCATCGCACTACATCATCATCATCATCATCATTCGGAATCAGTCGTCATCAATTCATCAGCATTCTGATCGCTTGATTTCCCGGACTCTGGAAAGCATCTGGGTATCCAAGCTGGTGACACGGTGACACTGGACGAACTGAAACGTTCGAGAGGAAGGCGAAGGCATTTTGAAAATTTTGATATTGTTCATCTCGAATCTGGCCTCCGATTCCCCATTCCTAATCTGCACAGCTAATCCTCCTCCTCGTCTGCACTCATCTCACTCGAACTCGAGCTTGAGAACTTGTCAGACCCAAAATCTAGGGGCGGTCGCGGAGGTGCCACAAGGCTCACAGCAAATTGCGTCCGGATACCCGACACGGCTATCGCCTTTGCATTTCTCGTGTAGCAATCGGAATGTCAGACTGAGCAGTACGAGCGGACGATGAAATGCATCCCAGTTGCCGCGAGAAGCGCCGCGCCCACAACCGGAGGGGACATGCAGTTCCCTCAGACCACGGCGTCACGCACATGTTTCTCCTACCTACCTACCTACCTCTTACACTGGAACGGCGGCCTGCCTGCAAGGGTTCGGTACAATGTAGTTTTGAAGGAATCGCCACCAAACTTCAGCAGCTCCACGTTAAATCCATGCCTGAGCTGGCTCGTGACACACAACCTGACCCCGAACAAGCAAGCCCCAGCACAATGCGGTCAGCGCAATTCAGCGGAAAGCTACACTGCAAAAAGCTCCGGAGGAGTCAGGATCCTTGAGTTGCGGAAATCGTAGATCTTGGAATTGGTCGTTAACCTGAGTATTACACTGATTGTCTACATAACTTGACGTGTACCGTGTGTCTTTCGATCAGCGAAGTCTATAATGGAAGCCAAGTAACGTCGGCGCCACACCATCTGAGCGCCACATGTGTCTCGAGAGAGACTTGGTGATGTCCGTGGCTGCGGTGGAGCGCTCATCCTCCTGAGATATCAGGCGCGTGACCGGAGCTCAATTCACATTCAACGAATTGAATGCTTCAAGTCGAATTCTGGACACTCTCTAAAAGCCTCGTAGCCAAGCATCCGGCAAGGAATGCCATATCAAGTCCAGTTGCTCCATCTCACGCAGACTCAGGGATTTCATCCACGCCGTGCCCTGCTCTTTGATGCACTTCCTGGAATACCTAATCAGAAACCCCCGCTCGCTGCTGCAAAATTGATTCATTCAATTCCTCAGCAGCATACTCCAAGCCCAATTCTTTCTTTCTTGCATCGAACAATCTCCTTGTCTTTTCCGTGGTTATCACCTCAGCACTCAGCCCGCGCACTTTCGGCCACACATGCAGCCGTGAAGGAACACAGGGGTGGTCTTCCTGATGCCACGCACTCACTGCCAATCACTCTTTTCAACTTTGTCCCCACGTCGCCCTTGCAGGCTCGCTGACATACACTGATGCTCGGATGCTTGGGTTGTCCCCCAGCTGCCGATGTCTTGAAACATCGTGTGACATCATGATTGGTTTCCTTCACTCAAGTCACGTGGACTGCAGCTATTTTTGGTTAAATGCGGAGCGGGTTGCTCAACGCGGCATTTAGAATGCGATTAATTGTGTGTGTGTCAACATCCATCGCGGAGGCGCTGGCTGCTACTGCTACTCTACCTTATGCCGCATGCGACCGCATACGCCGTACGATTCACGGATGTCTCCTAGAAAGATTCTAGCAGCAGCAGCGGTGGCCTCAAGCAGGTCATGTTGCACCTGTACTTGAATTTGTAAATGTTAACATCCCAGCACGGGTCACGCGCAACCTCATACGGCCTAGCGGCAAGGACATCGAAGATGAAATGAGATAAGAGAACCGTCCATCATCTGCTTTTCAAGGCCCACAGCACTGGCACGCGGACGGAGCGCGCCCGGCCACGGAACCTTTCACTTGCCCTTGTCAGACCTTCGTCGCTTGCTTGCTGGGCTCGCGGCTGGAACCTTCAGCGCTGGCATCTTGATGGCATCCGTTTTCATCTTCAAGTCCTTGATCAACTTGTCCGTGGACGCCTGGATCTCGGGCAAAATGTCCTTCTTGTTGATCTTCACCACCGAGCATCCATTCTTAGCGAATTCGGTTCGCATCAGACCACCAGGCACCCAGCCGCTTTTTCTCGGCGTGTGTGAAACTCGATGTCTCCTTTGTCAACAAAGCCTCGTCCGCCTCATCCTTGAACAGGAGATCTGCAGCCATGCATGACCAAAGCAGCTGTCCTGTTTGCTTCTGGCTCGGGAAGTCGTTCAGGACGGCCTTGAGCGTCATCATGCAAGCTTCGAACCCAGGGAAGGGGCTGAGGTCCTTCTCCCAATCAACAAAGCTGCTGGCCAGGGCCTCCTCAGCAACAAACTCGCCCATGCCTGCGGGAGGAAGTTCATGCACAGTACTATTAACACCGTAGCAGTAGAGGATACAGTAGTAATACAGTAATAGCAACACTGACAATACTAGTATTATTACGCAGTAACACAGAAATACAAGTAGGCCGTGCGGTCCATACGGGAAATACAAACGTACGGTGGCACTACACCTCGCAGTCTTTGGCTGATTGCGACGCAAATCCGAAATGTCACCCAACATCACCCAACAATACACAAAGTCGAGGCCTTCCACAGCGGCTTTCACTTCGTCAGGGAGCTGGTCCTCTTTGTTGGCCATGCGTTCAAGAACTGGCTTCGCCCCATCCGTGTCCATGGCCTTCGCTTTGCGAGTCGCAAGGGCTCCCGTAGCCTCGTCCGCACTCTTCTGCAAGGTTCCCTGCAGCGACTTCGACATTTTCAGTAGTTGGTCCGCATCATGCCACGGGCTTTTGGAAGTGGCGGCTGCCGTAATCTCCGCAAGCTGCACAGCGATAGTCGAGACGTCGTCCGGCAGGAGGTGGGGCTTGTCGAAGAGGGCGGTGGCTTCTCTGGACTCGGGCGGTAGCGTGAACTGCTTCACAAGCTTGGCCACGCGCAACTGGGTTTGCGCATCCTTCCCAAGGCTGGCTTCTGCCTCACTTGAAAGTCCAAGCAGTGCCTCCAGCTGCCCAGCTTCCAGGAGAGCCTGGGAAGAAGTTGACGGCAAATCCTTGTGATTTTTGAGCAGCTGCCCCATGCGCTCAATGATTGAACCCACACCATCTAGTAGACCTCAAATGGCAGAATCTGACAGCAAACTGTAAACTAATTTGAATTCGTATTCGATAATGATAAAGCCCGTCATTGAACCTTCATCGTACAACCCTAGAACCAGAAGTTCTAAACAACTCAATGAGCGGATAGCTCCGGATGTCTTGCGGCCCAAGGCGCCCGCACCATCCAGCGATCGCAGGAAAGCCAAGTGCTGGCAGCCTTCGACCCGCTGCAAAGCCACAGCCGCTTCGGAGAAGGTGTCAGCTGTCAAGGTGGAATCACGCGCGTGGATCTTCTCGATCAGCTCACAGCAGCTTGTCACCGCGCCCGCCAGGGCGCCCGTCATGGAATCCCCCGCTTTCGCCCACTCATTCACCTGCCAGAGACAACTTGAAAACAAGACAACAGGGCAACGCCTTGCATCGTCAGGTGACCATGCGAAACTGACTCAGCGGACAAACTGGCCTTGAACACCTTCAGCACAGTCGCCAAGCCCCGAATTGCCGTCCCAGCCCGAAGAGGCTCAAAGGCATCATTCTTCAACCCGGACACGCCGCTGACAATAGCGGCCACATTCTCCAGCGCTTGCGCGTGCAAGCCATTCACGGCGGCGGCCAGCTTGTGGCACATCTCAAGGAACTCCTGCACCTTGGCTGGCCTTGGGCTGAATCTGGCGAAGATTCCCAGCGTGTCACCAACACCTTGATTTCCGTCCACAAAGTCACTGTATCTTTCTCGGCAAGGGCTTTCAGCAATGCGCGGCCACAGGTAATGGCACTCAGAGTCACGTCAAACTTCGAAATATCAACAGCCTTCATGACCTCGGCTGGGCATCCCATCGATGCGCTGCATCTGCGGGCTGCGTTCTCGAGGCGGGCCATTAGCTGCCTCGGACGTACGCAAGCCCAGGCAACCAAAACAGCGTAAAGTAAAGCCACACACCCCGGTCAACCCCAAATACTGCACACGTTGCTTCTCAACCCCCACCCGCAACTGCACAGAAAGCTTGTCGGACAGTAGGTCTTTCCGCTCCACAATGGCCTTGGCCTGCAGATTTTCCAGCCCGCTGCCGCCATCGTCCTCATGGCACACACTGCCACTGACACATTCTCCCAACCCAGCTACCGTTTTGGCTGACCTAATCTCGGCCATTCATGGCCATTCTAGGCCCGGGCAAAACGCATGGCAACGCTGCTGC